CTGTGTCCTTTGGGTAAATACCTAGGAGTGGAATTGCTTGCTGGATCATATGGAAGCTCTATGTTTAGTAGGTCCAGAAATCTCCACCCAGCTCTCCATAGTGGTTGGACCAGTTTGCACTCCCACCAACAGTGCAGAAGAGTTCCTTTTTCTCCACACCCTCACCAACATTTGTTGTTGCTAGTTTTTTTAATATGTGCCATTCTCACTGGTGTAAGATGGTATCTCATGGTAGTTTTGATTTGCATTTCCCTGATTACAAGTGATGTTGAACATTTTTTCATATGTCTGTTGGCCATTGCATTTCCTCTATAGAGAAGTTTCTTTTTAGCTCTTCTGCCCATTTTTTGACTGGATTATTTTCTTTGTTGTTGTTGAGTCTCATCAGCTCTTTGCAGATTTTTGTGATCAGTCCTTTATCATTAGTGTTGTGTGCAAAAATATTCTCCCAGTTGGTGGGGTTTCTCTTTTTTTTGTTATTGTCTCTTTTGCTGTGCAGAAGCTCTTTAATTTGATGTAGTCCCAGCTGTTTATCTTTGCCTTCACTATCACTTCTTTGGGTGATGTGTCTGTAAAGATATCTTTGATGTGCAAATCACGTAGTGTTTCGCCTATATTTCCTTCTATGTATTTTATGGTTTCAGGTCTTATGTCTAGTTCTTTAATCCATTTTGAGTTGATTTTTGTGTATGGTGTGAGGTAGTGGTCAAGCTTCATTCTTTTGCATGTAGCAACCCAGTTTTTAGGGAAAAAAATTATTTGTCTCAATGACTTACTACAAACTGTGAAAGACAAGCCATTCTAGCAGTTTACTTCATTAGATCCAGAGATTGGACATGGCCTTGAAGGCCTACATTGCCAGGGAGACCAGTCAGGCTGAGAAAAAGAAAGGGAGGAGGACAAGTAAATGGCCCCATATATGGCCATTGCCATTGCCAGTGCCCTGCCACCTAAGTCTCACCCAAGGTCCCTTGTGTCCCAGGTATTGAGGCCCTCAACCTGTACATGGGCTGCCAGCTTGCTTCTACTGCCAGCAATCAGGGCACCTCAGCCATGAGTTTCTGCAAAAGCTGCCCCGAGGGCCATGTCCTCAGTGCCATTGCACAAGGCACTGGAAGAGGTACTGTTCCACTCTCCAAGAGAGAGGGTTCAGCCCAAACCACAGGCCAAGATGGAAGGACAGGCTTGACCATCAGCTGCCTCTGAAACAGGAAGAGAAGATGTTTTCTGAAGAAGCCCAGAGGTGAAACAAGCCTCGGGTGACCCTAAAAGTGGCAGACAAAAAAAAAAATCACATTCTTGGTAAATAAGGGGCCACTTACTCTGCCTTGCTCCAATTCTTTAGACTGGTCTGCTGATGACTAGCCTGAGCCAGGACTGTAACACTTGTAGTAAAAAAAAAAAAAAAAAAAAAAAAAAAAACTAAAGGTATTTTAAAAATCTATATTATAGATGCCTTACAGGCATGACAAGGGCCTAGTTGGCTACAATCTTTGCCTCTATAGGAAACCAACTTCTGTCCTCCTTGCACCCCCTTCTTGTTCCCTCACTAATTTTCTTTATTATTTTCTTGTTTGGGCCTTGCATCTTCAATATCCTTGTCATCTCCTCTCACCTAAAGGCCAGCAGACTTCAAATGGACCTTCAGATGGAGCCTGATATGACGCTTCCACCATCCTTCTTCTGAGATCCCTTAGATCTTTGTCCTGTGGTGGAGTCCTGACTGCTTCTGCACATCACCCATTTTCAGCAGGAAGCAGTTCTTGATCAGATCAATGCCCTCTCTTCTAACAATTAGGGGCTCCATCTATAGAGGGGAGAATGAATCCAGGGAAAGTTAAGATTTAACAGCAGCTTCAGGGACAGAGCAGGCAGGGACTTCAGAAAAGTTAAAGAGGCTTCTGAAATAAGGGCAGTAAATTCTAAAAAGTGTTAACCAAAATATACTCCAAAGTTGAGGTCAGAAAGTCCAGGAGAACTGAACAAAACCAGTACGCTGGGCAATGCCTAGTGACTGACTGTAGTTTCTCTTGCACACACTGGAAACCTAAAAAACTCTTCAAAGGCTGCACCCTGAGATCTATGCCACCACAGATATGATGGAATAAAAATTAAAAGGGAGGAAATGAAGTGTAAAATGTCAAGTTGATCAGCTGAAGTTGGGACATAGCCTGTAGACTGAAAGTTTCAAAGAACCATTGATAAACACTCTCAAGGCCACACACCTGATTCCTGCATCCCAGCTGACTGTAGCCCTTGCTTTAGGCAATAACCACATCATGTGATAATATGCATAGAAAATCCAGAAGACTCCACTAGAAAACTAACTGAAATAACAAATCAGTCCATCAAAATAGCAGGGTAAAAATCAACACAAAAATCAGTTGCCTTCCTTTATGCAAATAATGACATGGAAGAGGAAGAAATCAAAGAAACAGTCTCATTTAAATCACATTAAAAAAAGAATTAAATACCTAAGTGTATGCTTAACAAAGGAGGTGAAGAACCTATACAATCAAAACTATAAGACATTGTTAAAGAAAATAGACATGAAGAAATGGAAAGATATTCCCTGCTAATGAATTGAAAGAATTAACATTGTTAGAATGGCCATTTACCAAAACAAAACTCAGATTCAATGTAATCCCTCTCAAAGTTCAATGACATTCCTCAAAGAAATAAAATAAACACTACTGAAATTAATATGGAGCTGCTAAAGACCCTGAATAGCCAATGCATCCTGACAAAAAAAAGAGGAAGAATTGTGACACCATCTTCCCAGACTTTAAACTATACTACAAAGCTATAATAATCAATACAGTGTTGAACCAGAACAAAAACAGCCACACAAACCAGGAGAATAGAATTGAGCATCCAGAAATATACCCACGCCTATATGGAGAGTTAATACATACACTGGAAAAAGGGTAATTTCTTTAATAAATGTTGTTGGACAGTCAAAAGCACAAGAATTCAACTAGTCCACCATCTCATGCTATACAGGAAAATCAACTCAAAATGGATAAAATACTTGAGTGTAAGACCTGAAACCATAAAATACACAGAAGGAAACAAAGCTTCAGAGAAGTCTTTGTTGCAAAAGCAATGAAAATAAACAAAAATAAAAACAACTGGGACTATATCAAACCAAAAGCTTCTGCACAGAGAAAGAAAATGTCATTAAAGCAAAGACACCTTCTTGATAGGAGAAAATATTTGTATATCATACATCTAATAAGGGGCTGATAACCAAGATCTACAAAGAACTAATACAGCTCAACAATAAGAAACAAACAACCCAGTGGGAAAAAGTGATAAATAGGCACTCCTCTAAATAGAACATGCAGATGGGCAACAGGCACATGAAAAATTGTTCATCATCACTTATCATCAGGGAAATACAAATCAAAATGACAATGAGATACCATCTCACACTTGTGTGAAAGGCCAATATCAAAAGACCAGAAACAACAAATGTTGGCAAGGATGTGGACAAAAAGGAACACCCTTACACTGTTGGTGAGAATGTAAACTGGTTCAATCCTATGGAAAACCATGTGGAGATTTCTCAAAATATTAAAATAGATCTACCATATAATGCAGCAATTCCACTCCTAGGTGTCTACCATAGGCTTGCAAAAACACTGATTCAAAGGTATATATGCACTTCTATGTTCATTGCAGCACTATTTATAAAACCCAAACTATGAAAACAACCTAAGTGCCCAAAAACAGATGTGTGGATTAGGAAGATATGGTATATATACACTAGGGAATACTACTCAGCTATTAAAAAAAAGATAAACTCTTGCCATTTGCAACATGGATGGAACTGTGGGAATTATGTTAAGTGAAATAAGTAAGAAGGAGAAAGATAAATACCAGATGGTGTCACGTGTGAAATATAGAGAAACAAAACAAAGAGTCAGATAAAACCAAACCAATAATAAATCTTAGAAATCTGATTGTAGAACTGAGACTACCCAAGTGCAGAGGCAAGGGGGAGGGAACAAACAAAGTAGGGAAGAAGCACAATGGACTATGGAAGAGGACTATGGGTGTCTTGGTGGTGTAGCATGGTTAACAATATGTGAAGGGGAAGATCCTATATCTCTAAGTCATATACAACATTATAAGTCAATGTTACCTCAAGTAAAAAAATAAAATAAAATCAGAGTAATTGAACCAACCAGAGCTTTCTTTAGTTTACTCAGTGTCTCCAAATTTCCTTTAAATTTGGTACTGTAGATAGGGTGCTGTAGATAGGCAGCACCAAATCACAGATTATAAAGTGTGTTCAATGACAGAAATTGAAAAAGTCAGATGGCAGATCAACAGAACTGTAGGTAGCACTACATGATATTATAAATCCTTTTATGCCCTGGATGAAATACTTAGGCTTCTGATAGGATGAAAAAAAATAGTATCCTCAATTTCATCTATGTATGTAAAACAGGCAAAGATTCCTTGGGTACCATCAGTAGAGGTCTCCTTGGTAACTGGGTCGACTCATATTTAGAGAATTCCAATTTCTTTATGGAAGGAAAGGAAAAAAAAAAGACAGCTAATCCACATATGAAGACCAAGGAAAGGGTTGGGCATGGAGACTTTCAAGGAAGGTGAAAACTCCGGGTAGAATTCATAGGGATGGTAACCCAGAAAATCCTGAAGGATTTTCATCATATTAGTGATGACCTTGCTGTGGAGGCTGCTGAGAAATTCCTCTCTCTCTCACCATCAGGCATACACACATTTAAGAAGATTCTGATTCTGATTTTTTTCCTTCCTTTCATACAAATTCACTCACTTCCACTTTAAGTGGAAGCTGCAGCAGAACCAGGGCATTCCCCTATATCTTACTGGACTCTTAGAACAAGGTCTTCCTCTGGCAACTGAGGTGTCATGAAAGGGATTTTTCTGATTGGCTAGAAACTGATCAGGCAGGGCTTGGTTTGCATGTCTTTGTATTTCCTCTTCAACTTCATTCCACAACTCTACAACTCAGAACAGCAAGTGCAGACACACCACCTTGAGAAGAGGATGATTGTATACAGAGCTCTGATTCTGGGGGCCCTCACCCTGGCCTTCCTGATGAGCCTCTGTGGAGGTGAAGAAATTGTAGGTGAGTAGAAAGCTGAGGGATGTGGGGATTAGAGTTGAGAAACAAGAATTTGGAGGGGGAGAGAGAGATTTGCTTAGAAATGCTTCATATATGTCACCTCACATATAATCAAATGAAATAGATATGTAAATATGCTTTCTAAATAATGAAGACAAATGGCAATAATTATTCTTATTTTTAAATTATTGCTAGTACAGGTGTAATGGTAATAAAATAGGTATAATAACAAAATAAGAAATAAACTTTATTTTTACTTTAAAACTGAGAACTTTGTGATGAAAAGTTGGTGAATCAAATTATATTGTTCTCAAATTGTCAGCCCAAATTATCTATCCTTCACCATATTTAAGGAAGTCCTATAAGAGGAAGAATGGGCAACATAGATGAGTTATTTAGTCTCTTAAGGCCTTCTGTCCATTTCTTTCCACCCTCTCTCACACAGTCCTTTCTTCTTCTTCCCTTCCAGGATATCTTGCTGACTCTGTTTCCTATTCTTCTATAGACATGAAGAGAGGTTTTATTAACACAAAATAGAAAAAACAAATAGCTCAAAGGGGAAATGAAATGAAACTTACTCTTCTTCAGCATCTTTATTAAGCATGACTGCTTCCATTCTGATTTTTTTTTGTGGTGGAACTGTTATAGAGCAACCCCGATGTTAAACGGGTTCCTGGCTGTGGGTCCTCACCCGCGCGCCTTAAAGGGACTTTTTATGGTGACCAACGCAAGAAAAATTACTTTGGGCTGGTCAACCACGGGTGAAACTTGCAAATCACGTTGGACGCCAAGCTGTTATAGAGCAACCCCGATGTTAAACGGGTTCCTGCTGTGGGTCCTCACCCGCGCGCTTTAAAGGGACTTATGAATACTCTACTACAGACACACGCAAAAGGGTTAATAAAAGGTTTATTTACAAGAGAAAAAGAAATAAGGAAAATATACAACTCAGGGAGAAAATAGGGAAATAAAGTCTTTAATGCGTCCTACCCGATCCGACGACCTGGAAACCCAAAGTCACTCTCAGAGCTGGCCGGACGCTGCGAGCTGGCCAAGAGCCCAAAAATGGAGAGCCCCCCAAAGCCCACGTGTCTGCCTTTTGTATCCACCTGGCTGCTTAACCCCACCCTCAGGTCCCAGCCACCTTCCCTTTGGTGGTGATGGGATTTGGAGTTCCCAGTGTCTTTGGCTTTGGCCTGGGGTGGGGGTGGAGTCCACAAAGCCTATATGGAATTTGCTTTGGGACATCCTTTTCCCCCTAACAGAACTTTCATTATTTCTCCAGGGCATGTCCAAATTTCCTTTCCTCCACGTACCACCAGAGTGCCCTGGTATCCATAAGGCACAGTACAGTGACCATGGCCTGTGATGCTTGTAGGGCCCCATGAGAATGTTTTAAAATTGGAAGAAAGGATGAACATTTAGAGTAGAAAACACTGTTTTTTTTTATTCCAATGTGGATTATACTTCTCTTTATAAATAAAAGTTCATGAAATATTACTTTTAATATTTTTATGGAGGAAGAGACTCACAAAAACCACAGTGTTGAGGACTCCTAAGTCATAATGCAACTGATAACAGCTGATCCTGACAGTCATTGGTTCATACGACATTCACACTCCCTCTGTGCGTGTCAGTCTTCCCAAAATTCTCTGTGATCCTAAAGAATAGTAATTGATGTTCAATACACTTTTTTGAACTTCAGTACACGAAATAGTTCAAAAGGGAACTGAAATGAAAGTTACTCTTCTCCAGCATTTTTATTAACCATATAACCACTCCCATCTTAAGTTTGGTTGGTCATGGAACCTTCATCTGTTTCTCCAGGACACTTCCAAATTTCATGTCCTCCATGTCATAGAAATTTGCATAGAAATGCTTCATATGTGTCACCTCACATATAGCCAGAGTGGTTTGGGGATTCAAAGACGAAAAGACATGCTATTAGATCCCTAGAGGGTGCTCAGAATAGTGATGGAAGGAATATGGTGCAGGAAAGCAGAAGGATCATTTTTTGAGCAGACAGTGGGCTCAACTGAGGCTGGAATTACAAAAACGAATGGATTCCAGTTGCCCCAGCAGTGTGTTCGTCATTAGCAGTTGGCACCCAGGACAAAGACCAAATGAAAATAGTAACTGCATATATTCATGTTTGAAAATTGAGTAAAGAAAATTCATTACAAAGATAGACTTTATTGGAGGGGTTTCTAAGTGATCAACAGAGAGAGTTGTGCTGGTCAGAAAAGAGAGTGATCCAGGTATGACTTGGAGAGCAGGACTTTGGGGTGGGTGGCTGGAGGTCAGAATGCAGTCAAAAACAAGTTTAATAAAAGAATTTAGCCTAAAATTTGATGATGCAGAACTTCAAGAATGAATTGGAGTTATCTGGGAAATCCTAAACGGGAAAATCAGGCCTCTGCAAAGACCAAGGAACATGAAAGGATAAGATGGTTTGGCTTGATTGGCAGATAAAGTATTTGCAGAGGGAGCTCAACTATATAAAACTGTCCGTATCCACCAGAAGACTCACCACAGTGTGCTATGCTTGCTCATTTACTCACCTGACTCTCCTTGACTCTGTAAGCAACCTGATGGCAGAGACCACAATGATGGGTGTTTCTCCTTGTCTCCTGCAATGTGTTACCGTTATTGAGTCCCAGTAAGTGGAAGGAAAAAAAGAGAAAATGGTAAAGGCTCAAAGATATCTTGACAAAATTGTCCAGTTAGACTCACTATGCTGGCTTCCTTTCTGCTTTGGCATCCTCAGAAAGATATATTGTGTGTTTGAGGAAAAGGGACATAATTTACCTATAGTTCTCAGTTAATTTAAGTGTTGAGTCAGAAGAGAGAGGTTTAGTAACCTCCCAGAAAAAAATATGTGTGGAGGGGAATGACAGAATCCAAAACTCATAAGATAATTTTTTTAAGTTTCAGAAGGAATCAGATGCTCTGCTCTAAGGATCTCTACTGTTAACAGGCAGCAATATTGGTTATGATTAATTTATAGATGTTTTGTAATATCATCACTATTCTTGTTATATACATTTTTATACCATATTAAAATTAGAAGCTCTTTTAAAGTATTAATATCCTGTACATTTTATCTTGGTTACAAAGAAGAAAAAAAGAAAAAAAGAGCTAGGAGTCTCTGTTTAACAAAGAAAATCCTTTTCTAAGTTAGTCCCAGGAAGAGCAGAATCTTAAAGGATGTGTTATTCACTGATAAAAAGCATTAAGTGAATGATAACACTTATGAAGCAGAAGGAAGTAAAGGGAATCTCTGGGGAGGAAAGGTAATATCATGACAATTTATTCGGTTCTTCTCTCTTTCCATTACAATCTTTATCAAAAGCTACCATGTGGCAAGCACTGAGCTAGGCACAGAGGGAATAGCAGTCAGCAAGGCCAGTGAAATTCTGTCCTATGGAGCATACTGTATAGTAGAAAGACAGCCTGATTTTAACTGAACAACTATCAAAACTGAGGGGGAGGGAAGCAGGTGCTGGGAATTTTGCCTCAAGACTCTGGCAAAAAATAGAGCCCACAAAGCTTGAAAGTCAGTTTATTCTGCCCCTTGATTTAATCATGCTCTTTTCTCTCCTTCTGTTTACCACCTCATCATCATCATCCTCACTCGTCAGCTGACCATGTTGCCTCCTACGGCACAAATGTCTACCAGACTTATCATGCCTCGGGCCAGTACACCCATGAATTTGATGGAGATGAAGAATTCTACGTGGACCTGCAGAAGGAGGAGACTGTCTGGCAGCTGCCCATGTTTAGCCAATTTAGACGTTATGACCCACAGGGTGCACTGAGGAACATAGAAATACTAAAACACAACTTGGATATCTGGGTTAAACGTTCCAACTCTACTGCTGCTCGCAATAGTATGTGCTCACCTCCTTTTACTGAATTTCTCTCTCTATACCAGGTTTTACTCCTTTCTCCCCTTAAGATAATACTTGCCACTGTATAAAACTCTCCTTTGCAAGGAGTCCCCAGATCTTCTCACAGTAACTGAGCAATCATCCTCCCCCTTCTCTTAGATCACATATTTCCATTGAATACAAGGACCCTTACTCCCATAACACAATCCTCAAATACTTTAAAGAAGGATTTCATAGATTCCCCTGCTTTAACAAATAGGCCTACAGAAAGGAGGAGACAGAGATAAAGCAGAGGTAGTGGATAGTGTTTCTCAAGCAGAAGGAAAGCAAGAGCACTCCCCTAACAGATGGAAAAATGTAGTTAGGAGGGCTCTTTCTGGATGCCGTGTGCAACCTCAGGGCAGAGCTGTTCACAACTCATACCTGTCTGTTTCCTCAACACAGAGGTTCCCGAGGTGACTGTGTTCCCCAAGTCTCCTGTGGCACTGGGTCAGCCCAACACCCTCATCTGTCATGTAGACAACATCTTCCCTCCTGTGATCAATATCACATGGTTGATCAATGGACACTCAGTCACAGAAGGTGTGTCTGAGACCAGCTTCCTCACCAAGAGTGATCATGCCTTCTTCAAGACAAGTTACCTCACCTTCATCCCTTCTGCTGATGATGTTTTTGACTGCAAGGTGGAGCACTGGGGCCTGGAGGAGCCACTCCTGAAACACTGGGGTAGGTATGAGTTCTACCCCTTTTGGAATCTTCTTTCCTCTGTCAAGCCCAAATTCCAGAACATCCTGCCTTTTGTCCCCTAACTCTCATGACCTTAAACTTGGTGCTTCAAGAATTTCTAATGACAGACTTCACTCTCTTTTCAAAAGCTGACGGATGTCCCGAGGCTTTATAGAACCAAAAATCACCCTTTTATCTCATCCCACACACATGTGCATGAACTAAAGTTCTGCATTCTGACTTCCAAAACTTTACTTTCACAGAACCTGAGATTCCAACCCCAATGTCAGAACTGACAGAGACTGTGGTCTGTGCCCTCGGGTTGACTGTGGGCCTCGTGGGCATCGTGGTGGGTACCACCTTTATTATCCAAGGCCTGCGCTCGGGTGATTCCTCCAGACACCAAGGGCCCTTGTGAGATCCACCCTGGGAAGAAAGGTAAAGGTTTATGTTTGTTGGTTCCAGGACACAGTACAAGAGGGAGGAAAGTAGAAAGTTACAAATGTAGTTGAAAAATTACAGGAGAAATGGGAAAGGATATAACAATGGTGTTAAGTGGCATAAGGAAACTAGGACACAGGCTAACAAGAAGGTTTATTGCACAGGTACTTGACTCAACAGATCTGCATCCAAAGGCTGAGCTCCTCTTAAGAAATTTGGCTTATATACATTTCAGCTTGTGCTGGGCAGGTTAACATTGTAACTGTTCAAGGTCAGACAGGACATCAGTTACAATCCAAGAAAGGTAGCAAATTACTTATCACAGGCCCTTGGCTGCCCTGCTCAAGCTCCTAGCTTAAAGTGCACAGGAGATCCCTAGGACACATCAAGCTCATGTCTATTCTATTACAGGTACACCGCCCATCTATGAGAGCAGCAGAGTGGACATCCTAGGTGACCACGCACTATTTTCTGGCCCGGCTCGTCATATTCATTCTTTCCTCCAATGCCCCTTCTCTTACCTCTTCCCTGGGTCTTAAGGTGCTGTATCCCTGCAGAGCTCACTTAACCCCAGAGTGTTGATTTTTTTTTTTAATTCAATTATTAACTACTATGGATTCCTTGGATATTCCACCCATACAGCTCCTCAGTGCCCCTGACATATATCTCCATGAAAGTAATAAACTTCTCTTTTATGAGGTTTTGGTAGAAAATTTTCCTCTTTCATCACATTGCTAACTAGGATCATGACCCCTTATGTTTCAAGCCCATTTAGTCTCACTTCCCAGCTCATTTTTCATGCCCAACAGCAAAGGAATAACCAGGTGTAGACTGATAATATTTAGATATCTTAACTGAGGTTAATATTTCTCCATTCCCTGTGTTTCCATCCTGGAACCACTGCCTTCCATGCCATTTATTCAAGCATCAAGGAAAGTAATGCATACCCTCTGCCCTTAGTGCATATTTGTTAGAACAGAAATATAAAAATGAAGAAATTAATTTTACTCATTTTAATAAAACATTAAAATGTTATGACAAAGAAATATTCAAAAATAGAAATTCTGAATTTCAAAAGTACCAAAAATCAAAATTGGTTTACATTTTTGATTTCTTCTCCCTTCCTCACCCTAAGGAGATAAGAATACTCTGGGCATGGGCCTCCCCAGTGGTGCAGTGGTTGAGCTCTGGCTTGCAAAGCTGCCCACAACCTCTGCAGCACCAGTTCGATCCCCAGCCGCTGGGTGAGGGTCCCACATGACTCAGACCTCTCTTGCTGCACCCGCTGCTCCCCTCAGCAGTGTACTTCGTCCGTCTGCCTGTTCTGCTCCCTGCTCTGGCTCTAGTGAATTCTCTCACCCTCCCATGCTTCTGACTGTACCCAGTGCTTGTATAAATAAATAAATAAATCTTAAAAAAAAAAAGAAAGAATACTCTGGGCAGGAAAGGAAATGAGATTCAGTTAGGAGAGTGTTAAAATAAGACAATAATGTAGTGGTATCTGCAAAGTACCAACTATTTTGTCCTTACTTAGCATTAGTAAAAATGGAAGAATGGTAGTAGAAACAAGACACATATATAAAGTCCCTTAAAAACACAGATGTATATTGCCTCACCTCCCACATGAACCACTGCCTGATAAGCATATAAACATTCCTGTGCCACCGTGGCATGTAGGGGACAGTAGTATGAATAAGGATGCAGGATGTTTCTAGACAGAGAAACCCAAGTCAGATAACTGAATCCCCTATGAATCTCTATATTTTCTGGAGAGCCACAAAACAAACTCATATCCTCAGCCCCCTGCCCCTAACCCCTCCAAACTAAAGAAAGCATAAGAGAAATCCAGGAGGGACAACATGGTGGAGACAGTGTAGCAGCTGCTACAGCCCCCTAGATTCTTGCCTTCTACTAGAAACCCTTCAGAGGAAATGGTTTAACAAACGAGATTCTCTGGCTCCCCAGATATTCAAGACCTCACTTCTGAGAGTGTGTGTGACTTGATTTAGAATCATTTTGCCTTTTGAAATTGCTTTAGGCATGTTGCTTCAGTCTTTTCACTCTGCAAATACTGTGTCCCTATACTGCATCTAACTGTATTGTGGAACAGCAATAAAATACATGAAACCCTCCCTGTCCATACCATCTGCATCAGTGAGTTTAAAAATGTAATTGGGAATAAAAGACAAAATAGCAGCAAAATAACTGATATAGTATAGTTTGGTGCAAAGAAATCAAATCCAAATTTAGGTCTCAGCACTTTATAGCTAGTATTTTAAACTTGACAGCACACAATAAAGTAACATTCCTCAACCTTATTTTTCTCCCATAGTGTGGCAGTGGTGATGCTTCCCTTGTAGAGGTATTGACAGAATTTTAATAACCTTGATATGTCAGCAATTCCTTAGACATAACATACAAAAACACAAGAAAACCTTGCTAATTATAAACAAAATTTATTTATTAAAAAGGATGATATTATATGAAAACTATTTTTTATTTATTTGAGTCTGTTAATAATGTGGGATTCACATATGGAACTATGCATGAATTTATTTTCATAAGCTAATTGGAGAATTTTTCCTCTCTGAAGTGAGATAGGCTGAGAATGGTTTAGGCTGCCAGAATAAACAGGAGATAGTGGTCAGTGTCATATAACTAATAAAAGCGTTGTTAAGAGAACTCTTAGGGGCTTCCCTTGTGGCGCAGGAGGTTGAGCACCACACTGTGAAGCAATCCGAAGCCTCTGCAGCATGAGTTCGATCCCTGGCCAGCCAGGGTGCTACCCACATGGTGAGGCAGACCTCTCCTGTCTCACCCGCTGCTTCCCTCAGCAGTATGTTTTAGTCAGTCTGCCTATTCTGTTCCCCACTCTGTCTCTAGTGGATAGGGGAACAGAACAGGCAGACTGACTCACCCCCTGTGTCTCTGGCCTGTACCTCAGCTCTTGTGTGTATGAATGGATAAATCTTTAAAGAAAAAAAAAAGCAGAGTGCCTAGACAATAGCCAAGTGACAAGATCATTTAGCTTTAAAAAAAAAAAAAAAAAAAGAGAACTCTTAGATCAAGAAGGTATAGTATTTACTTTGGTTTTTAATACTCTAATACAAGGTATTTCCCTTCCTTATGGTCCATAATTTTTTTTAATAAAGTTATGTAATATGTAGTTCATCATTATTCATGCATACTTTGTGGAGGAGATGGAGAAAAGTAAAGGCTAGCTTGCAGTATAGAGAATAATGTAATATACATGCTGGGAGTTAGTAAATGCAAGGAATCTAAACCAGAGAGGTGATCATTAAAATATAACTAAGCAAAGAGAATTTTTAGGACAGTGAAATGACTCTGTGTGATACCATAACGGTAGATACTTGTCATTACATATTTGTCTAAACTCAGAATATACAGTGCCACGAGTGAATCCTAATCAAAACTATAGACTTTGATAATGACAGGTCACTGTAAGTTCATCAGGTTTTTATTTGTTTTGTTTTTTTTTTAAGATTTATTTATTTATTTATACAAGCACTGGGTACAGTCAGAAGCGCGGGAGGGTGAAAGAATTCACCAGAGCCAGGGCGGGAACAGAACAGGCAGACTGACAAAATACAGTGCTGAGGGGAGCAGCTGGCAAGACAGGAGAGGTCTGTTGTGCCATGTGGGACCCTCGCCGGCGGCTGGGGATTGAACCAGCACTGCAGAGGCTGCAGGCAGCTTTGCAGCCCAGGGCTCAACCGCTGTGCCACCAGGGGAGGCCCAAGTTCATCAGTTTTAACAAGCAGCACTCTAGTAGGGGATTTTGATAATAGTGAGGCCAAGAGGGTATATGAGAAATGATTGTACTTTTCTTTCAATTTTGCTGTGAACCTAGAACTTAGTAAAATAAATTTTAAAAATGGAGATGCAGCAGGACATGGAGTGTGGGAAGCCCACACTCTAGCAGCCTTAGCTTGCCTTGCAGTCCCCAGAGCAACAGCAACAGCAGTCCCCACAGCCCAATATTTCCAGGCCCTCACATGGTGCAGCTCCTAGCCAGTCTTGGAGGGCTTCAGGGGCCCTGAGCTATTGCTTTAGCCCCAGGCCCACCATACTTCATGCCTGGTGTTAGCCATTGCCTGTCATCAATTACTGCTGGAGCAGGAAGGGTTCCAGGTGCAGGAGCTGGAGCAGCAGCTATGGCACCAACAGCACAGTGTATTGGGCAACACCAAGTTCAAGGAGCCCACGCAGAGCTTCACAGCAAACTGACTGAAGCCTTGAGGTTCCAGCTGGCTGAGACTCTGGCTGGAAGTAACATATGGGTCAGATGGACCCATCAGGGATGCCCAGCAATACTCTCCAGACTTGAGTGGAGAGAAACCAAGAAAGATGAAATTGACCATTCTTGAAACTGACCTTGTGAAATGGACCAGTATTTTCTACAAACGTAGGTCTTTGTTGGAGAACAGCACCACCCACAATGCTGCCAGTGAAACTGCCCATGTTTTCTCCTCCTAACTGCAAACCTAGCTAGCCTTTCCCTCCAGTCTTGACAGTTAAGAAGGCTGTTTTCCCTAGTTTTGTTTTCCCTCCCCACCATCTTCCCTCCCCACTGCTCCTAAAAAGCCCTATAAATAAGAAATATTATCAATTACGAAGCCAATGCATAAAATACAATTTTTAATATAAAAAAATTCAGGTCACCTGAAAATGCACAAATGTGCTGAGCTTTTGGCAATAAGACTTTGAATAAATTTTATGCAAATTTTAATAGTACATGAGGTAAGAATCCATTGTTTTGAAGATGGTGTGTTTATATTTGTTTGTGTGTATATGTGTATCATAGTAATATAGACATTATACTGAATGGCATTATGACCAGCATCCCAGAAGTATACAAATGCTGCCCTACCAAGACTCCATTGCCATGAAAAACAAAGAATGCAAATTTAACAGTAATTACATTTTATTAAGGGGATTCATTCATAGTCTTCATTTGATTTTAAAACAGCAGAAGAGTTGGGATCAACATGGCCACGGGAAAATGCTGCTAGTAAGTCCTCCCATTAAAAAAAGTGAATAGGGAGGAAAAGTGGCAGGTCCCTATGAGAACTGGGACATGGAAGATAAATGGGTGACTCTGGCAAACTGCCAGAAGAGGAAAGTTGCCATAAAAGAGAACAGAGAAGAAAGGAAAGCTCAGAATCCTGCTACCCTCCTCCACCCACAAAGTCAGCACTCTATGACCAACAGAAAGGAGGAAAAAAAAAAAAACCAACAAGAACAAACTACAAATCAAGTGGGACTCTGAGTAGAAAGGAACTATTTCAGGCAATGCACCCTGTGAATGAGAACTGTGGAGAACCATGCGGGAATTGCCAGGGAGGTGAGCAAATGGCTCCAGGCACCATTTGAGGAAGATAATGACTCCATAGAGAACTACCAATAGCCCAAGGCCAGCTGGCAAGCTTGTGTGGAAAAGCAGCACTCTCAAAAAGCATACTCAGATCACCGCCCATGACCTAGGTTTGTGGGGAAGCACACTGGAGCCCTCACTGAGTTGAGTGTCCCTCACTGAGTAATCAGAAACCAGGTGCCCGGACATCGGAGCAGAGTGCAAAAGGCACCATTTCTGCGGACACTGAACTGGACTACAGGCCATGTCCTGTATCTGAGGGCTTCAGAACTGAGACCCAGGGCACAAAATTTGGGGCATGGGATGCCATGACGGTGGGGCACAGGGCAGACACAGCACCCCCACGCTGTTGAGGTGCTCCACGCCATCCCCACTCTGTTCCCCAGACCCACAGGGGAAAAACAGTTCTGGAAGGACACTAGGAGAGATCTCTGGTGCCACCTAGCGACCAGAACAAAATCACCAATACCCTGAGAGTTGGAAACTAGGATATCAAAAACACCCTCAAGCTCTGAGAGAGGGTGGGCCACACAAATGGGGGTAAGAAGGGAATTAAGGCATGGAGCAAGTCCCCCATTCTGGAACTGAGAGCCGGGAGCAGGA